GGCAGGGCTGCTCTCGATCCTTTCTTCCCCCAGCCTGTACTGATACCGGGGGTTACCCCAACCCAGGTGCAGGACCTTGCACTTGGCCTTGTTGAACCTCATGAGGTTCACACAGGCCCACCTCTCCAGCCTGTCCAGGTCTCTCTGGATGACATCCCGTCCTTCTGGAGTGTCAACCGCACCACTCAGCTTGGTGTCATCCGCAAACTTGCTGAGGGTGCACTCGATCTCGCTGTCTAAGTCATTGATGAAAATGTTAAACAGCACCGGTCCCAGTACAGACCCCTGAGGGACACCACTCATCACCGGTCTCCATCCGGACATCGAGCCATTGACCACTACCCTCTGGATGCAACCATCCAGCCAGTTACCTATCCACTGAACAGTCCACCCATGTCTGGCTCCATCAAACATCATGTTCTTCCAGGCATCCATTGCTCATTTCCACTATGTTATTGTAAAGGAGAAACTGAGCTAGGGAAAAAAAACCCCACAAACTATTAGTGCTAGGATGAGTGTTTAAACCAACAGCACTAATAAGGGGTATCTCAAATTTTGGCTGTAAGAAAAATACTCAAAGCACATTTGAGTTTGCACGTTTCTTTGCAAAATCAACTTTGTCTACAGACACTCTAATTTCAACCCAACTACTTTATTTTGAACTTTTTAAAAAGACTTACTTTACAAAGTTTCTTCCAGGAGGCAGAGCTTTCTATGGGGAATTTGTTTTTAAAAAAAAAAAAAAAGCTGTCATTTTGAAATGAGTCAGTACAAATTTAATTCTGAGTATCTTTCTCTTTCTGGCTTCCCTGATTTCCAAGTCACAGGGTTTGCTTTGTCTTATCCTTCTTATTCCCATCTCCACCAGTTTCCTGCCCTCTACATCTGTGATACTCAAATCTGAGCTCAGCTCATTGCATTTCCGTAAGTTCCCACAACTAAAATTAAGCCGACAAACCCATGCAGGTGTTTGAGGCAGCAGAGGACTCCTTGTGCAGCTCTTGGGGTACTGTGAGAGGGTAATACATTGTGTACCTGCTTTCCTAACCTAAATTATACTGAAAGACACTCGTATAAATTGAAGAAAGAGGCTGCAGTTTAACTTCTTCTGTAGTAGCGTTATCAGGTAAACACTTTTCAAGCTAGGATGCTCTAAAGAGCTGCATTTCAGCTCTGTTCCTTTGATGAACCACTTGCGTTTGTTCCTTCAGAGTTGGAAAGTGAAATGCTTTCTGACCATCACCTTCAGTAAGTATTATGGAAAAATAGATTAAATATAGCACTTGGAATAGCTGTTTTCATACTTTTTGTTTGTTTGTTTGTTTGTTTTCCTAAAGGTCCAGAAGGGGCAAACCTCTTTATTTACCACCTCCCCCAGGAGTTTGGAGACCAGGACATTCTGCAGATGTTCATGCCTTTTGGAAATGTTATCTCTGCTAAAGTCTTCATTGACAAACAGACCAATCTGAGCAAGTGCTTTGGTATGTCAAATTTAATAAATTGAATGGTAAAAACCACATGCACTGTACTGAAAAGGGGCCAGGAAAGAAAATTAACAGCAACGTGAGAAATGTCATACTGGAATCTCATTCCAAAAATAATGGACTGTTAATCCTCAAATGAGCGGGAAGATGCACAGACAAACTAGTTCTAACTAAAAATTGGCTATGAAAAAACAATAATAATCTTCCAGTCTGACATCTCGCATGAATGTGTCAAGTACATGAAACTAATTACACCCTATGTGGGGGAATGTCATTTAGTATACTATTAAACTGCCTTTTTACGGATACCTAATTATTCTCTATTGTATAGCTGAGCCACTTAAAAACGCTGTATGTTTAACCCATTACTTCTACATTACAGGAATTTCTTTCTTCTGAATTGAGAGAAAGATTTTGCAATTAGTGATTGAGTGGTGTGTACATATAGTTCAGAATGCTTTACAGACAGTTGATGTCTAGACATGCAGCTCCAGCTCTTGCGGGCGGGCTCCAGTGTATTCAGGAAGGTAGCAGCTCCCCTTATCTTAGGGCAGGGATGAAGGGAGCCTCACCAGATCAGTGTCAAGTTTCCCAGAGAACACTTTGAGCTGCCAGAAAATTAGATCTCAACAGAGGAGAAGATGATATGTTGGTATAAAACAAGTTCTAGGGTTGATTAGGTGGGTTGATGTCTTTTGAATAGCAGAGATGCGCCGGTTCAGTGCTTTGATGGAGTGGAGTACAGAGTGTAAGCGAGTGGCAAACTGTTAGAGCATTGGTCTAATAATTGCAGTCTTATGCAAGACATGAGGAGGGTCTAGGAGGAGGAAAGAATCTCTTAAAGATAAATTTTATAAAGTTTGACCTAAAATATTGGAGCTTCCATAAAAGTGACAATTCTTTCCCAGAGTAAAGGAATGCAACTGTATATATGCCAAAAGAGTAACCAGTCCAGACAACCCCCTAGTTTCCAAAACTCCTTTGTGTTGCTCTTTGCCCAGCACCATCCCTTAATTCTGAAGTGTCCCCATTTGAGGGGTCCCCATTAACCATAGTACATGTTTCTTAGCTTGCACATCATCACTTTTTTTAAAATCTAGGTTTTGTTAAAACGTGCCTGTCTAAGGATTTGTCTCCACCAGGGCCATTCAGGGGCCCCACAGATTTTGGGCTTTAACCCATCTTGAAAAGGTTTGAATTTATCTAAACAGACAGTACCCAAACATGAGGAGAATTCATCAGGTTACCTAGAAGTAGCTACTGCACTGGAATTCAAGCCTTGCCACAATCTGAGTGTTTTTCACCTGAAGACGAGCCCTTAGTACACTTGGAAAGTTAATTTGGTTCAGAGAAAGGGTTTGGCATTCTTTCTGCATTTTTCCATAGTCTTTCAGTTTGTTTTTGAAGCATTCACCTCTTTAAGTGCTACAAAAAAATATTCATATCTAGACAAATAAAAGTCCAGCGTGTTTCTGCAATGGGTTAAAACAGTTCCTGAGGCTGCAGTAAACTTGAAAAGTGGAATTGAAATGGACTCCCTATTGATCTGGAGCCAGTTCAGTTAGTATGTTGGGGTGACAAAATTATTGTTGAGGTCTCCAGGAATCTTCATGAAATGACAAATCAAGCTACGTTAATCCAAATGCAGCAATTGTGGTGACAGCTGAAAGAAAGTAGATTAGTTTGGGCAGGCGGCTCAATTCATCAGCTCGCTTCCCACACTTGCTCTTTGTGGGTTTCCTTTTACTCTTTGATTACCTACTTACCTGTTTGTCTGGATTTATGGGACACACCTACCTTAGAGTGATGCACTGAGGTTATCTTATTTGAGGGAAAAGGGAGGGGTCAACACCCAATGGATAGAGGAGTCCACTGTCTTTTTGGCATTAGTCACATTTCACTAACATTTAAATTTCTTATTCTTCCTCCCCAGATATTCTGCCACCAGTGAGAGAGCTTTAAAAACAAAAAGTACTGCAGTGGCAGAGGAAGTTGAGATTTTCTGATTCAGTAGGTGACTACTTGGTGGTGTTGCTAATCACAGGCAAAGCCAGTATTAATTCTGCTGGTTTAACATACTAGCATACTCTGTATGTACATCCTCAGCTTTACTGGCAACCCTCTATTTGTTGTTTTGGTCCCATATTTGTGTTTTAAAAAGCTTTATTTTTTCCGTGTCTTCCCACCCAAAAACTAGGACAACAGTGCATCTGAAGAACCCATTTCTCTTCTGTATCACTAATGGTCATTGCTCTCGGTACAGTTTGGGTTTGGTTTTTTTGTTTGGTTGGTTTGGTCTTTTTTTCCCTTGTAACAGTAATGGTAATGATGTGCACATGCTTGGTATTTTCTGCTCTGGAGTTTCCAGTCTCCTGCCCAAGGGAGGAGGAAATCAAATTACAGATGAGGACAGGTTGAACACCAGGAAGGTGAAAAGATTGTCCAAGGCTGTCCACTGGCAGGATTGGGAAGGTGCATTCTGAGTGAGTCACAGGGTAGTGATATACAGTCATGAACTTATATGTAGCACTGCTTCTCAAAATGAAAAATTACTTTTCTTTGCAGAAAATGGACTTTGGCATTATTTGCTTTCTTGTCCACCTCAACTGAATGCTTGAAAGATTAAATGGTGATGAGGAGGACAGGACAGTCTGTTTATGCCTGGAAATGCTCTTCCATGAGTTCTCATGAGCTCTAGCTGATTCAGCAGACAAAGGGTTCCACTCTTCAAGCTTATCTCTCGCTTTTCATAAACCTTAGAATGACAGAAATGAGAGATGTAAAAGTCAGGCAGGGGAGGGGGGACCCAGTGACATCAGTGCATGAATGCAGTCTGCCTCATAGCAAAATTGCTGCTTGAATGATTAAAAATATTTATATAGATTATAGAGATACCTAGAGATTTAAAACAAAAATCAGAATTGTCATGACAGAGTCTTTGAAAATTGATAAGAAACATCATCCCATCCTCATGTAACCCGCAGTTTAAAATTCAGACAAAAAATGATGAATGGGTGCAATCAGAAAAAGATAAATAAAGGGGGAGAATGCCAGATTTCCTCTGTAAGCTTTATAAATGAAGGATCTCGATAACGGAGAAGATGAAAGCGTAACAGGCTAATGTAGATGTAGCATTCTGTGTAGAGACAAACTGTGAATCAGAATAACAACTGAATGATAAAGGCTGATGCCACCGATGCAGCACAGAGGTTATGTGTTGGAATTTGTGGCTGAGATGAGGAAGCTAATAAAGAGATATAGAATGAGGTGACTTGTCTTACCCCCCTGGAAGGTAAGCACAGCCTGAGCTAATTGGTCTTCTGTCATCAGTGGAGATGTCTAAATTGGTGACATGAATGGTGGGTGGAAAAGCCACCTCTGAGTGTGCTTGCTTCTCTTCATTCACTATTCATAGGTGCCATCTAAGTGACTAGTTTAGATCAGTTGCTTAACTTTCAGGTGGCTAAAACTAGCTAAGAAGAAAAGGTGATGAGAAGTTCATAGCAGAAGACTGTTCTGAATGCACTTAAAGAGAACAAAGCGAAGGTCAGGAAAGCTGTAGCGGAAAATGCTGAATTGTCAAGGCAGGTAAGAGTAGCTACATCTTGGTTGTGAGGCACCTGCCTGGAAAGTGCTACAGCTGCCTTCCAACTCAGGGTAGATCTCTTTTCTAGCCCTGAGGCAATCCTAGAGATCAAGGCTGAGATCTGTGAGCTGATAGAAGTAGGCACAGGAGTGCAGTGCTAAGACAGTGACTGGAGTCATGTGAACATCTCCTAGAAGAAAATAGGGGAAAGGAATAAAAGAAGAGAGTGATGAAGCTCCTCAGGATATGGCAGTAATATTAAGAGGACATGATCTAGTGGAGAGAGTGAGGAAGTGACAAGAGTTACTAAAACCAAGGAAGGTATGGAGGAATATTTATTGTCCCTTAAGGAGATAACAAATAATCAACCACAGAACAGCATGAATAGAGCACTTTGACTTTGGACTTTGGCCAGGAGAGGATCTGCAGAGATTTAAGGGAGAGGTGGTTTTGAGTGGAAAGAACAGAAGTTAACCTGAATTGTCAGAGAAGAGTCGTAAGTTAAATAGTTTGGTGAAGTTGATTTAAGGTGAAACCATAGGAATGGTTATAAAGGAGAACATCTGGACAAGGACCAGATGACTTGATAAGAGGGGTTTTTTCTTTACAATGGGGAAAGTGTGTCATTCTGACCCTGAAGATGGAAGGGGGCAGCAGTGCAAGGTAAGCAAGAGCCATAAAAGAGCAGGTTAAAGTGATGGTAAAAGGAGGTTATGAATCAGAAAAGTACACAGGCACTGAGCACAAATGAAGAAAGCTGGTAGAAGGGAGGCACTGAGAAGCCTGGGTGTTAGGACTGAAAACAAAGTGCTTTAACAGAGCGAAGGGATATGTGTTAAGGCAAATTCAAGTGGAAAGAAGAGGGAGCATTTCAAAGCAGATGCATAATAGCAGGCTGAGTACAGTAGTAATTAGCCAGTGCTGAGGCAGAGCAGCAGTTAGGCAAGCTTTGCAATTACAAGTGGGAGGCCCAGATATGAAAATGAATTTTGAGCTTCCAGAATCAGGGAGATTTGAGTCCATTATGAACAGAGCATTTTTAGTCTCCCGGGGAAAAGGAAGCTGAGCCAGGCCAGCCATTCTGAATTACCCGAGCAAGCATTATCCCCCTAGTTAGTGCTCGCAACCAAGGAGCAGATCTGGGGTTCTCATCAAGCCCTGCCATTGTCTTTACGATGCTGCTTAATTTTGATGCTTGCATACCCCTTTGGGGACCAAGAGGCTGAATTAATTAACATTTAATGTACCTTGAGCTCTTGAACTGGAAGGAGCTGTAAAAATACAAAATATTAATATTGCAACTGTCCTAGGCTACGCCCAAGGAGATGAGTGGTTCACAGCACACAGGACCAGTGCACATGAACTCACATTCAGGTGTGCAAATGCATACAGGCATCAAAGTTTGGGGGTTGTTTCTGTAACCAGGCTTTCCATTTCAGCTTCACATCTGCAGGCTGGCCTAATAGACTGGGAGGTATGTAGATATTACAGTGAAAAGTGTCACAGTAATAAATATCTTCGGTCTCTGAGGTAGGTAGATAAATAACAGATTGGCAACTGCATTGCACCAAAACTGGCCAACTGCATCCCAGCTAGTAAAAAAAAATATTATGAAGGTAAAGGGGAAGGCAAAGGAAATGGGAGAGGAAATGGGATACAGAGTGTGATCAAAGAACTCATTGAAAGTGAGATAAATGTGTCAAATAAATAGTAATAATAAAATCCTAACAGAACGCCTTCTGACATTTGTTCTAACCTATAGTTCACTTTCTCTCCCGCCTCCGTTCTGTGTCTCGTAGGTTTTGTTAGCTATGACAATCCAGTCTCTGCACAAGCTGCTATCCAGGCTATGAACGGCTTTCAGATTGGCATGAAACGCTTGAAGGTTCAGCTGAAACGCTCCAAAAATGACAGCAAACCTTACTGATCTTAACCCCAGATGCTTACTGCTCTTATTTTAGCTTTCTTAGGGTAAGTCCCATGAGCAAACCTGTCCTCTGCAGGGGGGTTAAGAAAGAACATAGAGCCAACCTTCACAAGAGACAGTTATTTTTACAGTTACCACTTCCATTTCCCCACTTGTCCTTATTACACTTGGCTCCCATTTCCTTGCCAAGTGATTACTGAGTTGTGTTACTGTATTTTGTTTTGCAGCATAATTTATCTCCTTTAAAAAAAAAAAAAAGTCTTGAAATTCAAAGCAACACACACACACACACACACACACAAAAAAAATGTGCAATTTAACTCTGTGAACCCTGGTGCCATTAGCACACAATAAATGTTGTTTTCTATGGATGGATCATATTTTGCCAGGGTGGCACCAGCAGTTTATAGGTTAAACAAAATGGCCTCATGCCAGTCGAAGCACTTATTTTGCAACAAAAATTGAAACAAGTCTTTCCACTACATCAACTTGTTTTTTGAGAAGATTTGATTTTTTTTTTTCGGTTCGAATCAACGTGTTGTTATATATTGGTCTGATTTTACACTGGTCGTCTTTATATTTCACTTTTTTTTAAGTTCTTGTTTTTTTGGAAAGGATTAATGTAAAAAAGATTTAGAGATCTGTTTCTAAAGCTACAGGGTTTAAAATAAAAAAATAAAATAAAATGAGTGACAATACTTGATGTTTCTTGAGAGATAAATTTAATAATAATAAAAAAAAGAAAGCCACAGGCCTGTAAATTTTATTTGTAAAAAGCATTTCTATTTTTATACAAAATTTTTACTGCCTCAGAAATAATGGAAGTTATTTATTGCCTATTGTTAACTTATTGGATACCTAAAGAGCAGCTCTCTATGCTAGCTAGATCCTTTGAAGTAGTCTCTAGAGTAATTGTGCCAAGAATGGGCGCTTTTTCACTGTTGAACCCTACACCCTCTACAGTTCATGCTTTTATCCTCTTGTTTGTATTTGTCTGGTTATTTTGTTCGTAGTTTCCATTACCTAGTTTAAAGTTCAGTTGTCTGACCTTTTTTTCTCCCCCCCTCCCCGTACCTTTCTGTTACATTTGTAGAAACTGGTTCTTTCCTCTCTTTTCTCCCCAAAGAGGAATCCATTCTCTCTGACTCCTTTCAGATGGATTCTTTTGGGGTTCCATTGTGCTCTTGTTGACAAGTAATTGTAAGTTAATGCAAATTATGTGAACGGCTCATAGACTCTACTGATAAAAGATTTGCATTAGTTTTCTCCTGCACCCATAAAAGTGATTTTGTTTGTGCTGCATAGATTCTATGTAACTTTTTTTCCTCTTCCTTGTTTTTTCCCTAGACATCTCCATGCCCGTTAGCCCATCGTTTGCCTAGCATGTCCCTGTGGCGTCTCAAAAAAAAAAAAAGTTTCATCGTCCCGTCATTGTTTCTGATGTCTTTCTGACCTCACATCATATTTGGTTCTCCTACTGACCTTTGATCTAGTTTGACCTTTGAAATTTGCATGTGACCTCATCTAGCTATGAATTCTGGGAAGTCAATGTGAAAAAACATTGCTGCATTCATGCAAGACTGAAATTTATTATTAGATAAATTAATGATAGGATTTAAAAACAACCTGTGGCAAAATGTTTTTTCTTTCTTTCCTTTTTTTGGTTTTCTTTTTTCCTTTGGGTTTTTTTTTTTTTGTTGTTGTTGTTTGGGTTTTTTGTTTTGGTTTTTTTTTTCATTTCGTAAAAAAAAAATAAAAAAAAAACAGACTTGAAAGTATTATACAGGGATTGGCATTCTGCCTGGTCACTGGTGACAATAGCAATATGTGTCCAGAGGCACAGAATGTTGGTTTCTAACAGACTACTTCCAAAACAGTTTGAGAAATAAAACTGTCTGATTTTAAGTCTCTAGAGGTCTGTAATAGTTTTTACATTTTTCAGGCAGTGTAAAGTTTTTTGATAAGGCCATTTTAGGTGGCTCACTTTCTCATTAAAGTATATATATAGAACCACTTTTTGTAGATTAGTATAAGAAAATATTTACCCTGTTTTAGGGCAAATGCTACCTACTTGTGTCACCTTTTGCTGAACTGACTCACAGTTAGACAATCCATGGTTTAATGCACATGAAATTACCTATATTTTATACTGTTTCAATGTACAGAAGAAAGGTTACTGTAAAATGTGTTACGTTGGTGCTTCTGTGAATTAAGTTGTGGTTTCATCATGAGTCTTATGGTCTTAAGTGTTCTATGTTTATAAAAGATGAGTTTAAAATTGGTTTACTTGAACAACAAGAACAAAAACAAGATTCAAAAAAAAAAGAAAAAAAAACAAAAAAAAGTTGTTTGCTTACAAAAATGAATTTCATGTGAAAAATGAAAAAATATTCCAGAATAAGTTTGTGTTGGCTTGTGACGCATTGATGTCATTTTTTTATCGTGAACAATTTAGATGTGTTTGTGTTCAGCAAAATGTGATCGGTTTTTCTTTTAAAGAAAAAAAAAAATCAGTGAAACTATAGTGCCAAATTCCAAAGGTACTTTCTTCCTAGAGCTTCAGTGTGTTTCTTGTGTGAAGTAATTTGATAACATGGGTATTTTATTATGTGTTTTGTATAAATCCCTAATATTTAAAGAAAAAAGAGGTTAAAAAGTTTGTTAACTTGCTATCCTGTGGTCTTGTTGCCTGAAATTGTTATTGTTTGTTATTTCTCTTTGATGTTTTTTGTAAAACATTGTATAAGTGCCCATGTTTCACTTTTTTAACCACTCTGCACACATCAATGCTGTGAAAGCAAACCTCACTATGTATTTTCTTCATATTGTATGGAAACCTCTAAGGTGAGAAAGTTTTGAACTTTTAACCCTTTCCACCCAGAGCTGTCTTGAGTGTTAATACCTTTTATACATTCACCATTTTGCTGTTTATTTTTATATATATATCTATATCTATAAATATATATATACTTAGTTTTTTGTGGTTTATTTAATACATGGTTGAAATCAGAACAATGCACAGGGCAGATCTGAAGGACAAAAATATTTTACTGCTGTCTAAATTTCTTCTGTATCTATAACTAAAATTATTTAAAGCGGTAATTAACTTGTGGTTTTCCTTTTTAGATTTTGGGGATTTTGTCTTTTCTTAAAGAGCTTTTAATATGCTGCTGGAATATGCTATTCAGTATTAATAAAATAAAAGAAAAAGAAAACAATTCTTTAATTATCTATTGTGTGAGCCACTCCCAGACAGGAGTGGTAAATCCACCATTTGAAAACCTTGAGGGGAAAAAAAAAAATATTTTTGTAATTTAAATAAATGAACTTTTGCTTAAATCAGATGCACTAGATCTTCCTGGGTGAAAATTCAGTGTGCACTGCAGTTAAACTACTTTTTATGGATAAAGTTTACATACACTGTAATGTTTGGTGTTATCTGCCATTATTTGTAACGGCAATATATGGGCTTACTCCTGCAGACACTCGTATAGAGAGGAGTAACTTTACTCGTACACGTAGTCCATGGGAACATATATGTGACTGATGTGGGTGTTTGCTGGAGGAAGCTCTGTGTAAGGAACCAGAAAAGAGATGCTGGTAGCCCTTTTCACTGCCTTGTAAGTCTGATTAGATCACATTTCTACTGCACAAGTAGTGACCAACAACCAAATTTGGGTTTTTGCTACCAAAATAGAGAATTCATTGCCAATCCAATGCGTGTGAGCAGCAGTACCTGCTACTGATGATAAAGTGCCATACCTTCTTCCACTTCCTATTTCTATCCAATCACATTCAAAGCCGCCTCAAATTAAAAAATGAAGCCCTATATGAACAACATCAGCTGGTGCACTCTTGTCTCTCATCCCCAACTTAAATGCTTCTTTATGTAGAGCCCTGGGATGGAAAGGACTAGCCTCTAGTGATGCAAAAAAGTTTCCTTCTTATAGCACATGCACTTATAAATAAATGATCTATACTTTTCTCACATGTTTTTACTACTGCTGGGGCCTTCCTACACCCTTTGAGGGCTATTTTGTACTTCTTGCAGCAATTTTGCATATTCAAAGTATCATCTCACGTACATTATATTATATATATGTACATATATATATATATATAATATGAGATCATCATTTGGATTGTTTAGACTGTTTCACTAATTTTTCTCATTGTACCCACCATATAAATTTCCAAAGCTTTTTTAGATGCCCTCGTTTGTCCTGCGGGTTTACCAGTCCAGTTAGAGCGGTGATGCCTTTGGTCCTCAGGCGGTGTAACTCGGTATCAGGCTGCCCCGAATTACGCTACACGGGACATTGGCTTAGCAGTGGGAGAGGAGGAATGTTTCTGTACTTCCAGGCAACTGAGATGGGTCATTGCTGAGAAAAGTGTCCATCTTGAAATAAAATTTTAAAAAACATAAAATAAAATCGAGTACAAAACCAAAAAACCCAAACATACACCTCCTTGGAGACAAATTATCTACCAGTTGTCTTTCAAAATATTGAAAGGACAAAGCTGCAAGGGTGCAAGGGCCTAATAAGAGAGGAAGAAAAACAAGGGAAATTGCTTTACAAAATTCTAATCAAAAGACTAGACTAGTTGTTTTTTCAAACAAATTAGCTAATTGCAATGAAATGGCAGTCCTCAAAGGAGTAACAAGTTCATCTTTCTTTCACCATAGGGGTTACAGTTCCTTGGCTTGTGCTACTCTGGAATCATTTTACTGTTTCTGTTTTTATTATCTTAAGTGCTAATTAACAAAAGGAAAAAAATATCCTGTAGTTTCATTACCTTTTTGGATAATGTCATACAAAAAAAAAAAAACAAACCTATGTATTTGTGTTTTTTTTGTGCTGTGAGAATTGTTGTTTGTAGATTAATAATACTATCATTTTGTTTAGAATTACAAAACTAGTTTTTAAGTATTGTCTGAGAAAAGCCAAAGTTAATGCAATCTAGTGGAAACTGTAAGACCATTTGAGTATTGTTTCTGTTTTATTGATGCATTTGGATTTTGTTGTTTGATGGAATTTGAGCCAAAAAAAAAAAGAACAAAAAAAAAAGAAAAAAAAAGCAGGCTTTCCTATTTCTACAACTTGATTGTACTTATGCATTTTGTACCAGTGGAACTTTTTATACTGGAGATTAAAAAACAAACGGAAATTTTTGTGGCTTACTCTCGTGGGCCCCCTCGATCATGACTGATTTTCAAGTTTGATTTCTGGACGGTAGAAAGAGAGTTGGTTTTGTTTAGAGAATTCAAAACTTTGGCTTGATTTCTTTTTTTCCCTTTGCTTATATCTAGTGTTTAGAATTTTGTCTTAACAAAAGCGGTAAGTTTCACTTTTTATTCTGTATCGTGCAGTTACACAATAAGGTAATTAGAATTAGGAGTACTCGGTCACTTTGCGTGGATAAATGTATTAGTTAAAACGTTAGGGGTTTGCTTTTTTGCTGTTTAGATCAGAGTTTTTTCTGATTCTCCTGTCCTCATTGTGAACATAACCGTGTAGTTGAAACAGTCAGACTTATTTTTGTAACGTATGTTATTGTGTGATGCAGTTTTTTGCTTCTGTCTCCAATATTAAACCATTTTCCTAATACTTGTCTCTCTACTTTGTGTGTTGTATCGTTGGTGGTCATTCTGTGTTGGTAATACATCTACACACCTCACTGTTTCACGTGCCTGTTTTTTTTTTTTTTTTTTCTCTATTTGTTGGTTGTGTACAAAAGATACAGTCGATTCCACCTAAGTGAATATCTGATTGGGGGGCAAAAGAGGATTTGTACATTTTAGACATGTTATGGTTTCTTTGATTTTGATTTTTTTTCTCTCTTCCTCCCCCTAGTCATGCCTTATCACTTGGATAATCTCTCTGAGCAGGAAGCATTTTAAATGAGCGTCCTGCAAAGTCATGTTGAAGGTAGCTTTTGTTAGCCTTCTAACTGCAAAAGCTTCTGCACACAAACACACAGAAGCCACCTGAAAAGATTTTTTTGGGTTTTTTTTGTGCTGTGACATTTCAGTCAGTCTGGAAAATGTGGATTACGGAGATCAATTCTTCCTAGTCATTAAAAAAAAAAAAATAATAATATTCTGCCACTACTTCACAGAAGCATATGAAACATTCAAGAAAAGGAGGATATAGCCTTGGGATTTCTTCCACACTGCACAGTAATCTGATGGCATATGGTGTTAGTCAAACTCTCCTTAGAAACTAATCACGTCTTAACTAGGGCTGTGAGAGCCTGCAAAAGCCTACCAGGTGATTGGGCTTGTTATGTGCAGTTATACATCTAATAATTAAAAAAATAAAATAAAATCCAAGTAAGCACAGGAAGACTTTCTATTAAAGCCAGTGGAATTAAGAAAAAAAAAAAAGATATAAATAAATGATGGAAAAAAGATCCCCTCTCGTTCAAATGGGTGATATTTTTGCTGTGGGCTTACAACGCAGATCATTCTCCGCATTGGCTAATAGTGTTACACAAATCTCAAAAGGAACAAAAGAAATACCATAGCACTTTTTTCCTTGTTTTTTTTACAGTTGCCTTTTAGCCTTTTTTTTTTTTATTCTTTCATTTCCTATAATTTTTCCTCCTCACAAGAATCTCTCTGCTCTCCCCCAACCAATGTCTACCATGATGAAATAAAAGCTGCAAAAGAAAAATCTATGTTGTTCTGGTTTACAAAA